TGACCATTTTTACTAAAAGTAGAAGTAGTGGAACAAAGAAACGCATACCATAGCTTTCCATGCCTTTCATGTCCATACAGTCAATGAAGCAAACCCCAAACTGTCAATATAGCTAGAGCCATGTCTTCAAGGAATAGTAACAAGCATTTTAAGATATTAGCATAAAGTTATGACTTAGCTATTAATAGAATCAAATGACACATAATGGAGCCCTGCTGATATTGAATTGCAAGGAAAGCAACATTTGTCAGGAGGTAAAATAGTCAAAGGAAGATTAATAACGATGAACAAGTAGCAGCTGAACCTTTTTTTATTTTATACAACTACATGTTCTACCTTGTAAACTCAACGGCATCAAACACACATCACAACTATGACAGAAGAAACAAGTGGTAAAATAGAATAAATTTTCTGGGAGCACAAAGTCTAGAATTCATACACTTCCTTTGAGATTAAATTTCAAGAGGAAAATACCTTCTAGATGCAGCTGCAGAAACAAAAATAGGCTCTATAGGGCTGCACTTTATATCCAAAACACTGCAAGGGAACAAAATTATAGTTATGGAGCACAGAGGGATGAAAATTGAGAAGTTCATGCCTCAGGCACCTTGGAAATGCTTGAGTTGTATTAAGATCACAGACAACCCTCTTTGCATCAACATTCCATGCTTTAATTCCTCCATCAGCGGTGCCTATGAGAAGCTTTTGTCAAAGAAAGACAACACTTAATGCAGGAATTTTTAATCTCAGATTATCAGACTATTATTCCTTCATCATGCAATGCATGTTAAAAATTGCCAAAGTACTTACCAAACGGTCAGATTTACATTCCCAGTCCAGTGACAAAATCTCTGCCCCACAATATATGGTTGCATTCCTAGTTGCTGGAATTGATGAGTCATATGTCCATATCCTTGTCAGAAAATGCAAAAGGGACATGTTAACTCCAAAAAATATCAAGCAATTAACAAGCACCAAATGGCCTGTGACTCCTCTAGCATACTCAATAAACTCTATCTGCCAGGTATGCAAAACCAGCAAAGTGTTTGAACCACTGACCCAACAGAGAGGCCGGTAAAACAGAATTATTTGATTCTCCAAGAAAAAAAGTCATGTTAATTTTTTTACATCATAAAATCAATTCTATAGCAGGCAGGGAGTAAGGAAAGATCAAAATCAGTTAGCATAAGGGAACAACAAAAACCACAAGATATCCTGCTTTCCTAGTGAGGTTACATAACTCTATACAAACCTGACTGTGCCATCAGCAGAAGCACTAGCAATATTGTTCCCAGATGCTGAGAAACGGCACCGACTTATAGGACTTGTATGGCCCAAAAATGTCTCCTAAAAACCATGGTGTTGCAGATGTTACAAGGAGTATATGTAGAGAACAAAATATGAAACTTAAGGTGAAAAAACTTGGTTGGTAATTGAAAAAGATGGCATTAGAAAGAGAGAACTAAGACCTAGCAAAAGACCAAATATTCTTTCATGTCTTTTCAAAATTTTTTACCTGGAAATCTACTTTAACTTCAGGGAATTCTTCTTCTCCCGGTGTTTCTCTGACATCTTCTGGTAGTCATATTCAATGATCTCTTATCAATTATAATTTCAGAAGTGAAAGTCCGCATAGACTCCAAAGATAACCAACACAAACTCAAACCAGCAAAATGAAGGTCTTCCCAAAAGAAAAGTGAGAACATGATACCTTTAATTTAACTTCTACAGGTGATCACATGTCAGTAACCTTTTGCCTCATGAACATACACAAGCACACATGAGTGCCATTTATGATCACATGGAAAGAAACGAACTCTAGGCTAACAAATAACACAGAGCCTCCTAGTTATAAAAGTATATCAATTATCTGATTTAGGCTTCTCTCACTTTTTAGCATGAGAAATTATCCTTAACATGTATCATCCTTTATTTGCATTCACCACATATAATAAATCACATTGGCAGACAAGGTTATTTAGTCACATAGAAACAGATCGGATGCTGCTTAATATCTCAAATTTGATTGGCCCCTCTAACACTAACCTTTCCAACGCTACTGTTAAAATATTTTAATATCTTTTTTATTTTGCTAGACTAAACTTTTGGCATGCCAAATCTCAGTCCCAGGTTGTGTTTTCGCATTGAGGTAGATATTATCATGTTTATAAAACAAATCTCCTTATTTTGTTTATTGATAAAATGCCAAAGTGATAAAGAACAGCCTACCAGTGAAAGTGCCAGAAGAGGGTGATTGATTGTTATCATCGCTTTGAAGCCTATCAGTACGAGGATAAGAAAGAGAACTTAAATCACGCCCAGACATGAAAACTGATGATCCAGATGTAGCTTTAGCATGTTCAGCAGTAGCTAATTCTTGATGTGGTTCTTTTTGACCTGGCTGTATGATCTCATAAACACAAGCGTCTTGAGAATTTGTGCGTGGAAGGATTTCTTCATGCACACTGTTTGATGAAGCTGAATTGTTGGCTTGTTCTGAGCTTGACTTGGTTGCCAATGCAGCATTGCTGGCATTATTAAGTAACAAGACCATAGTAATGTCAGTGAAAACTGTGCTGGCAAAAAAACTATTCCAGAGAAACATAAAAATGCCGATATTTTACCTCCTTATCTGGCGTAACTGAACCTCTTTTTCCTCCAACAACGCCTGAAGTTGTGACAACTTAAGATTAAGTTGCTTGATGTCCTTTTTCAGACGGTTGACAGTGTTCTGATCTGAACTGATTTTCAATAGGGCAGGGATACGTGGCTTAATTAAGGACAATGCAATAAATATTTCTGAAATAATACAGGTGAAAAGACAATAGAATTGTGTCCCTTTTGGTTTTGGAGAGAGGACTGCCATGTAGAACAAATAAAAGAAATGGCCCTTCCAGTATAGGACATCATGTTCATTAAATATACTCATAATGATACTGTTTTCAGAACAATATTTTTAAAACAGTAGAAAAAAGCCTCCCAATTAATAATGTAATGCAGATCAACTCATGTTCATCTGAACCAAATTGGATGATCAAGGTGGAATAAGAAGCTTAAGGAGAAATTGGTACCAGAGAAGAACTAGAAGAGATAGACAAAAGGTCCTACGTAGGTATTAACTTGTTATTAAGTTATTAACCTAGGATTACATCTGAGAGACAGAGATAGAAACTATGAAATGTCAAGATCTAAGCAAAGCAACAAGAAAAATAAAACATTCAAAAGGATATGAGTATTATTGAAGATCACGCTGAAAAAATTCATCACAGAGAGGCGCAAGGCTTCATACCATTCCTTTGTGAAGTAAATGCGAAACTGGGAGTCCAAGCTTGGATTCTTTAAATAAGGAATGGCTGCAAAACAGTCACAGGATAAACTAAAGATAAACTAGAGTATGAAGACAAAATGAAAAGGATAACTGATAGACTCACCAAACCACGGAGTCCAATCTTTGCCACTTTGCAGCAAATCATTTCCATTCATCCCAAAGAATTCTACAACTTTGTCCTTCCTTCCTGATTGTGTGGCATATACAATATAGTAGCGTAAAATAGAAACCTCCAATTTTGCTAAGGTAGCAACAAAAGTTGTCTCGGACGATGAAGAAAGGCATTTCTTGAAGAAACTAAGAAGACCAACTAATTTTTCAGCCTGAAATTTGGGAATGTACACAGAAAATATTAAATCTAACAACTTGTCCACTTGAAACCCTTTACCAACATCTGTGCATAATTCTGCCTCAAAAGCCTGCAGAGTATTTGTAAACCCTCTGAAGATCATAAACTCTCTCACGAGCTCCTCTGCATATTGCATGTTCTCCATTTTATATTGATTAGCCCTAAAATTATGGAACTGTCAGGCTTCATATCCTAGCATAAAACCATAACCTCAATCTCCACAAAATGGAACTCATAAGAAATATTCTCTCATCAAAAATTGCAAAAATCTGGCTCAAAACCTATGACACTAAACCTTCCTACTATCTGTTAATGAATGCTAAACAAGAGATTCTCATTAGAAAAAAAGCACGATCAACTGACATTTCCTAATTGTTGCCACTGACATTATTAAGATATGACTTGAAGCAATTATCTCGACCAGGAGAAATTAAAAGCCAAACAAGGCTCCATTTGACAGCATAGGTACCAGATGAGCACTAACATTCATTTCTATATTTATCAGAAGCATGAGATTCATTCACAATACCATACCTATCGATCGTATATAAACAACACAACTTATGCGCATATACAGATGCATGCCAAAATGTAAGAAAAAAATTATAGCAAGTAAGACCGCATTAAGTCAAAATGAAGACATTATAACAAATTATTTAACTCAGTTCTTGAAAATATAGGCACGAAACTGACTAGCTGAGATAACATAGTCACCACTATGCAAATTATGAAAGTAGTAACTAACAAATTGCTTAGGGTTCACAACAATTATATTTCAGGGAAACGCATGCATAAACAGAGACAACAAATTTGACAAATTAGAGAAAAGGATCGAACCAATTGCGCCTATAGACCTCTTCGGAGATTTGATTATCACCAGCTCGTGGCTTGAATTTGTGACTGAAGCAGGAGAAGAATAAGAATAAGAAGAAGAAGAAGGATCGTTTTACTTCTTGGAAACGTGAAGTTGGGGGGCTTCAGGTGGCATTTGGCGCTTTATGTTTTTTTTAATCGTTTTCCTGCTAAATTGCGCTGCTGACGCAGGCTTCATGTCATGGGCTAAAACGACATCGTTTCAACTCAATATTTTATGTCACTTCTTAATTAAAAATAGTAATTTTTTAAATTATGATTTAATAAAATTACAATCATAAAATTTTAATTAGAAACATTTAAATTTCCATAATTCGTAGTTATTTTGACATTATAATTATTTTCCCATTTATTTCGGCTCATAACAAGGAATAATTGAGAAAAATTAGACTCTACTAATTATTATTGTAATTAATATTTTGATAATTACGCGTACTATTAATTAATTAAGAAGTACTTATTTCCAAATTAGAAATTAAGGTGAAGACAATTTAATTTTACCCTACTAAAATAGCTTAAATCAAGTAAATTATTATCTCAAAAAATATACTTAAAGGTTAATAATTAATTTCCACTATTTATTTCACCAAGAAAAATCAAACGAAGCTTCTTTGATTCTTCTATTGCTCCCTCCATTAATCTATAAAAATGAGTTGATCAATCTTTAATTTTAATTTCAAAAGGGTATTTTTTAAGTTCTTCAAATAAAATTTGAGAGGTCCAATTTTTTTTTTCTTTTGGCTTTTTAATTGTTTGAGATTAAAGAAGAAAAGCAAAGAGAGAAGAGACCATGAGTTTCATTTTCCACGATGGAGACAATGGTAGGCAAAATCATGACGATCATGATCAAACCCATTTGCACTTTGATTTAAACTTCTCACCTTCTGATTCTCAAGGTGTGTATATGCATACATATATACATATACATATAGATATATATATATATACACATTTATATTTTCTAAATCATGGTTTTTATTTGATTAACTTGTTACCCATATAAAAAATTTTGGGTCCTATTTTGTTATATGAAAATGTTATTTATAATTGTTTTTTTTTTTAACAATGTGAAAATGATAGTAATTTAAGCTTCGAAATTTTTATGTATCGAACATAATATATTGATTATTGACGTAGGTGGTACAAATAATGGATCCGAAAATAATCCATCGCTTGCTCAATATTATCCTCAACCAGCTCAGTATTATTCTCAACCGGTTCAAAGTTATGCTCCGCCGGTATATCCTCCGCCCGCACCTCAGCCTCAGGGGAAAGTTTCTGTCCCGCAACCACCGCAAAATCCAACGATACCGCCTTACTCTCGTGCCCAACGGCCACAGCCGCCGACACAGAACTCCGAAGATCGTTTTTGCAACGGATGGTAATTAGAAATGTATTTATTATTAATTAAAAAGTAATTACCATTTTTCATTGAATGTAATTGACTGGTTTTTACTCTGATTAACTTTCAGCTTGGCGGGTCTTTGCTGCTGCTGGCTTTTCAATTGGTGCTACAGTCCTTGGTAGTCAATTTAGCCAAGACAAATTTTTTTGAAGAAGTAGGACTTGGTATTGGTTATGTTTGTCTCTAATCTATTTATTATTATGAATTTAAACAAATGTTATTTGAGAATAAAGTTGGGTTATGCACCTATATTAATATTTTGTTATTTATTTAAAATGAGTCTCGAGATTGGTGCATTTTCACGAAGGGTTATTGCTCCAACTTTTTATTTTTTTTTAAAAAATAGATTACCATTTTAGTTCATGAATTACCCGTCAATTCAATTTACAATGTAATTTCAAATTTTTGTTTCATTGTTAGTTTAATTTACCAAAAATCTAGGAGAAGTTTATAATTGAACTTGCTTACAAGCCAATTGGAGCAGAAAGAAACCAGATTGAACGCATCCCAAGTTTCTCTCCTCATATATACACACAGAAAAACAGGCTATTGTTAAATAAAAGAAACAGAAAATAACATTATTTTTTTTTTCCACAAAAAAACACAGTTTTTGTGAGATTAATTTTATAGTGTAGGTTGATGTCAGATTCATGGAAGCCTGAAAAGAAATGAGTATTAAACTCGTTAGCAGTTAAAAAGTACGATCCAAACTGATTTTCATTTACATTTGATTCAGTTCACGAAAAAAGCTTTCGCGATAAGTTATTGTTGTATGAAACAAGAAAAGAGCAGCACCTTAAGTGTGAAGGTGGATCGCCGGCCTTGTTTGGTTTAGACATCCTAATCGTCGTCTTCAAAATCAATTACCAACCTAAGCTTCTTCCTATTTATGGCAGCAGTTTGATTTGATTCATTTTGGGGTAGATCATCCCCTGAATCTGCTAACTCATCATCATCATCATCATCATCTAATTGTTCATGTTCCAAAATTTCTGTTGATGATGATACTGGCAGATTGGTTTTGATGCTGCTATCAGCTTCTGTTTCCGAAATGCCTTCCTGCCTGAGACTGAAGGAAGACCTGTTCTTCTTGGCATCCCAGACATCCATCTGGCTGGTCCCAACGGACGTATTCCTGATTTAGAAATACGAGATCAATTTAGATCACATTTTAATAGAGTTTACATCTTCTACCAGTTGAATTAACGTTATTGAACAAGTAGGAAATTATTTGAAATCCATTTACAATTATGCAATAAAAATGATAAAAAGACCCCCAAAAACTGACTCACGGAATTTCATTTAGAATTAAAGCAAGCATTCTAATTAATTTAAAATGGTACTGTTCCACTTTACACGTGAAAATCCCATGTAAAGTCAACTTTTTATTCTTCTAATAAATTTTATATCATTTTTTAGTTAATCAAAGTGCAAATTTACAAATAAATTTTAAAAACTTTTTAGATTTCTTCCAAACATACCCTAAGTGTGGATTTGCAAATTAATTCCGCAAAATTCCTAGAATTGATGCAAATATACTCTTAAATAATTTAGATAGAAGTCTTGATCTGAAAACTATCATAATCGATTTATTAGATTATTCACCATAGAAGATGAGAGCTCATCAAATAGGTGGTTACTTGGCGCTGATTTTCTTAGATACGCTGAAGAATAACTCAGCATGCACTTATCCAGTTATGTAGAGTAAACTAACAAAGTTCCCCGCTCCTATCTAATTTCGTCATGAACTGCACTGTTAAACTCAATCTAACATGAAAAAAGGAAAAGACGAACCCAATAAGTTTTAGATTACCTGTCTTCATGTAATTCTAGGAATCAATTTCAGATGGTAGAACTAGTAGAATGAGATTCAATGGCAAAAAATATTTTGCAGGATGCTTATACCTCTCTGTATTAACTTTAGTACATCCATCTCCAGAGATTGTTTTAACAATTTCCCTTTCTCTCGGGATTGCTGTGAGCTTCTCATCGTCAGCATTTGAAGGGAGTTTCCTCGTTTTCCTATGCCCAAAAGATAAACAATCTTAAGAAAGACAGCAGAACAGAAGTGCAGTGGAAACTCTAGGATATTTTAACAGGTCAATGCCAAAAAACTTGTGGTCAAATTATATCATTCATGATATAACAAAATAATCATTATGCAGTCTGTGACAAAAATAAATCGTATGTGAATGGAAAAATTGTATTGTTGTTCCATCAAAGTACAAACTCTAACTGTGGATCAAAGGAAAAGAAAATATATAGTAATTATGACAAAAAGTTAACCCCATTTGGGATTCAGTCCTAGCATCAACATTATTTTCATTCTATGGGGAGGAAGAGAGACTTACTTGAGGACAGAGCTTAGAGTTTTATCATCAGAACTATTTGTCATTTTATCTTCCATATTTGGATTAGGTAACTCCTGATCAGGCAATCTACCACTACTCTTGCCCTTGCCCCTAAAGAAAAATAAATGAAAAGATGGACTACTGAGTTTCATATATTTATAACATGAGAAGATTTAGAATTATATCAATGAACTTTTCTTCATAAAATACAATACTATCTCTTTGCATGACATGTGTTGTCAATAAGGAACTCAGAAAGTGGGCTGCGGGAACAGTATTTGAGATAAGAGAAAATACACAACCACCCACATACACATTCTCTGGTTTAGGGTTTCTGTAACACCAGCTATGCCCAGTTGCATTGAATAATCAGTCAAAGAGAATGGAGAGAGAGAGAGAGAGAGAGAGATGCAGCTATAAATAGGATAAAAAAGGAAAAGCCGTGGCCGATTGAATATATTGGAATGCAAGAACAGACTGGACCCTAATCCCATTACTTGTCCAGGTGACAGTGGGCAAGTAAAGAAGCCATCAAAGTGAAAAGTGCAGAATGAAGGAAATTATAGAACGAAATATATACATGAACCAAGTAATTTCTCGTGGATCTCCAGAAGCTTGATCTAGAAATATATGTGCTGGTTTACCTGTTCCTGAAGGCTAACAATGTTTCATCGTCAGAGTTGAATCCTCTATCTGCATAAAAGTCACCATCTTCTTCATCTCTCAGTTGCATGTTGGCTTTAGCTTTCCCTTTCCAAGGGACAAGTAAACCAAGCTGCTTCAGTTTACGAGAAACTTGGGCCGCGGTGAATTTAGTGTCAGCACTCAATGCATTTGCAATCAAGTAGCTGCACCTCTTCTGATCTTTGAACCTGCAAAGAGAAGAAAATCCAAGTCATGTATTTCATCCAACAAATACAAAAAGGCTAATCCACATATTTTAAAATTAATTTTCTCAATAAAGCATTTGAAGTTAATCTTTCAAGGTAGACAAGACATAAATGATAAAAATAGCAACAACACTGTATTACAGTTATTTTAGCAATAAAATGGGGGATAAAATGTGGAAAGACTATAGAGATTAGCAAGGTCATCAATCCACTAGATTTGACCCTAAAAATTTAAGGATGTAAAAAGGAAGTTATCTCATACTTACTGTTCAAACAAATCTTTAATCATTGCCTCCTGATCTTTGTTGAAAGCACTCACTCTTTTTCTGGTGTGCCTGTTCAAAGGAATGAGAAATTCAGTTCAAAGCAGAAAAGAAATAAAAACTCCCAAAAGTTATATACATTAAGAATTTCTGAACACTTACGTAGGCTGTGTTGACGAACTTCGTTCTAGGACATTTGAGTCCTGGAGGATGCTTTCACTTTGCACCATATGTCCATCTACCTTATGCTGATTAGGATTAGCAGAAAAATAACCATCAGCATTTCGCATCCTTTTCTTTCGGGAAACACCAAGTCCCAACTGCTTTAGCTTGTTCGAAACTTGAGCAGCTGAAACTCTACCATCAGGATCTAAGGATTCAGCAATGAGATGATAACAATTCCCATCATCTTTAAACCTGTGACAACCATGTTTATCAAATTGATTCAGTTCAAATGTTCAAAGACTACTAATGAATAGCACTTGATGAGTCAAAAAGTTAGAGAAAAAACCAAACATATGATCAGCTCATCAATACAGAGAATCACAAGCTGTGATCGCTAGCCATATGGCAACTATGCTCACAAACTTATTTGTATAACTTTTGTGTTAATTTGTCTAATTGCTTCTAATTTTAAAGAACAGTATACTCTTGGCAGCAAATATCCAGGTTAAATCCAACATACTTATCATAGAGGTCCTTGATTTTAGTCTCCATTTCATCACTGATGACAAGTCTTCTCTTTCTTTGACAAGCCTTCTCAGAGTCATGTTCTGCACAACTTTCCCTACTGCACCAGAAGGGAAAAAGGATTTTATTTATCAGATAATTTCGCTATTGAAAAAAAATCATATCAAAATATGTCAGTAATTTAGACTTTTTTTCTAATTAGTGGCACTATTTGAAGTAGATGTGATGTATGCATTGCAATGATTCTTCATCCATTTTGAGGGAGGTGGGGATGGGGGAGGGTATTGATGATAATATAACTTCAATTATATAGAAGGTTAGGAATGTCGGGAGGGAGAGGGGGAAGATGATCTACTAATTAAGATAGATAAGGGCAGATAAACCAGACACAGTCTAAGAACCTAAAAACAAGGTGCAATATGATTTTACTTAGTTACACACAAAGTTTTATGGATGAACATAAAAGGGTGAATGTAAATGATGAAAATTAAATTAGAAGCTTAATAAAGACATCTTACTTCTGATTTTGAAGGTCATGAGATATAATAACATCAGCTTCATCCTCGCCCAATGCGTCTGCTATGCTTCTGTTAGCCCATACCTTGGTTTGTGATGAACTAATTTCTCCATTTTCTGAAATATCTTCTTTATTTCTAATATCTCTCTTCAGAGCGCCAAGTTCATGTAACAAATATTCTGCATCAATGTAATGACATTCTCTCCGAGTCTTCCAGAAGAGCAATTCTACAAAAAGTAGGGGCTGATTCCTTATTTTTCTTAGCATTTTTCTGACTAAACTTGTCAGGAAATCAACAATATTCGCATAATCCTTGGATGGACAAGATTTCTGCTCATCCAAGATGTCGTGGAAAGTCAAGAGGAGAGATAACTGCATATTTTGTCCAAAAGTAATAGACACTTGAGATGTTTGTATATGGAAGTTCAATAGTCAAGAATACCACCTTTTAAAAAATAATCCAAATTCCTAAACTATATACGCATATACATATCTATTCAATATTCTCAAGGAGGAAAAATATTCACCGACCAACCTGGTAGAGCATTGGAGAGAGCTCAAGCTCATCAGTTACCCTCCGCAGTATGGCTACGATGTAGTCATTTGTTTGAATGGAATTGGTCTTATAAAACTTAAGCAACCAGCACAGGTTTTGAATGATGCTGCTGTTTGCAAAACCTGAAACGAAAGTAGACACCTTAAAATCAACTTCATTAGTCACAGCAGGTTGCTCGTCACTAGAAGATTCATAAATGCTGCAACAAAGATCATCCATATGATTGGACATTTTGGTATCCATCTGCAACAAATTGCCTCCAACTTCTGATGCAGACATTCTAGGTTCATCAGGTAGAATGGAGCTGCTTGTATTTTTCTCCCCATCGGTTGTCGTCTTTACAGACTTGTCCTTCCTTGAAGTGCTAAAATCAGTTGCTTGTTCGGTAGTTAAAATATTGCTGTCATTTAAAGTAGGAGGATGGTCTCCAGATCGTTTATCGTCACCTTCCTCCCTGCTGATTGGTACTCTCTTCTTTTTGCCTGCCCTTGACTTTTTAGAAACCTTAATATAAAAGGAGTATTTAAATTGTAACTTCTGACTGAAAGCATCATTAATATACAGAAGAATATTGTAAAGAGATGAAGTGTAAAGCAAGAACATGATGTCAAGAAGATACACTAGTGATAGAATTACCATGTATGTGAAAGCAAAACATACCCTTAATGTATCGCGTGCTTGAAGATTCTCCATAAGGCATAAAATTACATATATCATGCCAACCAAGTCTGCAAGATCACTGAAAAAGCAATGAAAATAGCACCAGTACTAAGACACTCGAGCCAATAAGATCAATCAAATTGACATATTATATTGTCACAAAAAGCACAAGCAGAATTCATACTCGGGAGCATTCATAGACAAACATGCAAATTGGTGTTTGTCAGATGACTACTCTGGTTCAGTAAAACGGAAAGACACATGCTTAAAAAAAATGAACGTGACAGATCTAAGACCTGCAAATAAATCAGAGCGAGTTTCAACAACAACATTTAGTAAAATACTACTAAAAGAACTACTACACATAAAAGAAAAACAAAAGAAAACCTTAGCTTATTTGCTTTTAGATTGGTTCATCGACACAATTCTTATCCTATGCAACTTTCTTTCCCCTGAAGCAGGCATGAAAGCACTTGGACAGGACTTTTAAAGAGTGCAAACAATAATCACTAAATCATTCTAGGGCACATACATATCCATCCAACACTTCTAGGCAGAATGAAATAAGCAGCTGAGCATATTAGATTAAGATAGGGCTTCCTGAGCATCAATCAACAAGAATCCATGATGTACTCACTCGCAGCACTTAGAAGCTTATATATAGTTGACTGCCAATCGTGACATCCTATAACATACACCAAACCACTTTATTCTCTACCATGTTAAGAATTCATTTCCTGAAACAATCTTTAGTTTTCATTTCCCAAAATTCATATACGTTTAACACGTGCAGTAGTTAAGATGCAAACAACGTTTAAAAATAACAGCAAAAATATGAAATGAATGAGAAAGGAACAAAAAACTGTTTCCAATGGTATCTAAAAGGCTCTTCTTATTCATACTTAAGCTCAACAGATATACAAGCTACCATATGCGTATTTTTATGCATAGATAAGTATATGAATTTATGAAATAAAAAATAAAAAACATTTTTACATGCCAAAAGCCAGATAATCTTTGTCAAAGATGCATGCTACAAGAAGCCAAAAGAATAAAAAACAAGCCTTCTTCAGGTGAAGGAATAAGAAAAACCTTTTGGGTTGTCTATGAGTGTCAAATGTTTTGATAAGGTTCAAGAGGAAATGAGTCATTCCTTGTTCGGTCTGATCATAGAAAAGCTTGTAAAGAAGGATGCGAGTTGTCTGAGGCTCCTTAGAAGCTTCTGGCAATAACTTAAGCACCAGATCTAGCATGTAGATCTGCATTAGCAAAGAAGATAAAAGAATTAAAAACAACTATTTTCTTTTCTTACTTCAGCACCACTAATTAAAACTCAACAAAGGCGTTCAACCTAAGATTCTCTTGTACAAAATGCAGGTACAATATTTTTTTAAAAAACAAGGGTTTTATCTTGTGAAAGCACAACATGGAGCATGATAAATAACATACGAGGATTTCTTTCTAATTCAAAATAAGAGGATTTCACCAAACAAGGAAGAGTATTACCATGGTTTTCATGAGAGAGCTTGCTGCAGACAAAAACTTATAGTTATTTGTTTCCTTCAAGCCATCAAAAGCATTACGCCACCTCGAAATAACAAGTGAAAACATTGATTCATTCATTGACGCAGCAATTGGTCCACAGATCTCACCCTTAAAATAGGTGACATCAGCTTGCTTAACAGGGGAAGTTTCACATGTTTGTGGCTCCACAGTTGGCTATTATATCATCAATAAGACAATAGAAAAAGTTATAATATAAAAAAATATACCTTAACAGTCAACAGAACAATATTGATACATGAGTCCGACCAAAGCTACATAGGATTCCAAGTAAACTCATTAAGGTAACTTAAGAAACCTCCATCACATTGATGATTAGAGAGAAGTAAACTCAGGGTCTGTCACCTCAAGCTGTATGGCTTGGCTACTAGCATTAACCATTGCCTAGAACAAAACCAGTATACCTAACATGGAAGCAGGGAAAAACATCAAATAAGTGCATTGCTTTTGGCACTATTCTGCAGAACTCAAGCACGGGATGGAAAAGTTGCAGCAAGCCATTAGCAAGATTTTATCGCATAGAGACAGATAAAATTCTTATATTATCATTTAACAACTAAATAATATGAAGAAACACTGAAAAAAAAACCTGTGTGATTGGCTTATCTCCTGTTAAATTTTACATACTCCTGGGTGGTTGAAACTGTCTTTTTTGGTGATTAATTTATTAGCTACAAATGGACTACAATCAGAACAATTTTCTTGTTCTGCCTTCCCACCTAGAATGGCTAGTTCTAGCAGCTTCATCCAACATTGACGTGAAGTTTGATGGATCATATTATCAAATATACTTTCAATTATAGGCCTATTTTCTTGTCATTTATCCTTCTAGCGCAAACTTCCAACCTTCTCTGACTAGTTCTTTTTCTCTGCCAAAGTTAAAGGCACAAGGATAAAGTTTCATAACTCAGATTTATTCTTTGTCCAAAACTAATATTCATTTCTCACTGACTTAAATATAGTTTCAAGTATAGACCTAGTTCTTTTCATTTATCCTTCTAGCACAAACTTCCAACTGCTCTGATTAGTTCTTTTTTTCTGCTTAAGTTAAGGCACAAGGATGAAGTTTGATAACTCGGATTTGTTCGTTGTCAAAGATTAATATTTATTTCTCACTGACTCTCGGCATACAATGATTCATGTGCTAATTTGTTTCCCATTACAATACTTTGACATCCTTAAGTGAATGACTACAAAAAATATCTCTTCTAGAAAAAAAAAGCTTTTGTATCCTTCCTATAAAACCTTTTGATTATTGAGCTTTTCCATTAAGTTTCCAATCAACTCATCTTTACTTTTTGAGTCCTACAATATCTAAAGTCTGAGTGGTGTTAGAACTGATATTGCTCAAAATTAACTCAAGCTGGTTCATGGTCAAAAGTGAACAATGAAGAATTTTCGACTAGATAAGACAGGAAAATAAATCACAAAAAGGTTTTATATAGATATAAAATGCATCTAATCACCAAAGGAGATACAGTATTTTGGACATTCACCTTAGAGGTCAAAAACTTGTGATACTGGAAAGAAGTAATGAACTGAGCAACCTGGAAGAAAACAATGATATCACTGTTCTGAATTGCATGATGTTCCTTCTCGATATCATCACAATTGACTGCACCAAGACTGAAGAGTATTTGATTTACATGTCGATGTTAGCATCCCCAAAGAAAAGCTGAGTGAAAAGATATGCAATAAAGTCAAGACAAATGGCCAATTCATCAAGTTACTTTGCCATTATAACCGCCTGACAGAAATTGGTTGATGAAGTCATGGAGCAATTCCAAAATTTTGCTTTTGTTGAAGGCAAATGTCCATGTTTCCTGAACAATCCTTTTACTAGGCCTATGACCTTTATGTGATTTAACTGTGCTACTTAGAGAAACAGAAGAGGGATTTCCTTTGAACACTGCTTTAGAACCATCCTGTCATGAAGTCTGCAACAGTTAGCAAAATATTACAAGTAAACCCCTCACATGCATTAGCACACTGAAAAACTTCATACCACTGCAAGCCTTGTAAATGTTCCAGTAAACTGCGAATGACGATTCATATTCTGGAGTCTGGAATGCTTTCTTTTCTCTTGTTCCTCTTCCATAATGGACTTCAGGCCATCAAGAGATGCTTTGTTGTCTTCCCTCACCTATCGTACGAAGTTTGGGGATGATAGGTTAAATGAACCCTGTGTTACAAGAAAAGACAGCAGAGAAAAACATGAAGGAACACCAACCTTGGAGCCCTCTGAATGAGCTTTGGCAATTAATTCTGAGTCTTGACCCAAAAATATGTAATGGTAAATTTCTAATAAAAGCAAGTTATCTTCATGAAAATAACCGGACGAACCACCAATATGCTGAGTCACAACTATTATTAAGTCCATCACATTCTCATGAAACAAAAGCTCGAGAAATCTATCTCTGAGTGACAAGTATTGGAAGGCGGATCCTCCAGCCTTCTGAATTGATGAAATTTCTTGGATGGCAAGAATGTTCCTGAATAAAGTGAGTACTAGCTGGGCTAGTTTCCAGTTATCCTCTGTAAATGCTTCACTGCATAGAATCAGCTCTTCATGATTATAAGAGCAAAACAAAGCAAAATGCATCTGAAAGACAAGGAACAAGAAACCGAAATCCAGGAATTATTTTGACTATGAACAAGCAGATCGATAAGATAGATGAAAAGACTGTTCCATCAAATGTGACATACAGATACCAAAAGTCTGCATATGATCATGCATAAAAAAGACTGTCTTTGGAAGAAAAATCCTTTGTCTGTGGAATCAATTAGAGTCCACAATTATTTTAACCCTTCAAAAATTGATTAAGTTAAGATAATACACTTCAAAATTTCACTTGTTCCAATTGAATTTGAAATATGGTAGAATAATATAACCTATTCTAAGAATTCCACATCCTATGCCCCAAACACAGCCATAAATCACAGGCTAACTTATAATTCAATTTGCAGAAGCACAAAAGATTTCATGCTCTAAAACCAAGTAGTAGAGGTATGAACTTGTTTACAAGCTGATTAGGCCAAGGAGTTAACATTTAACTCCCGGAATCTTGTCCATCTTCTCTTAGAGAAAAATAAATATAAATGGAACAGTTATGAAATCAATGAATAGGATTTCCACCAACCATTCCAAATTTTCAAGCGGTCCTTCAAGTAGAGAAACTACCACTGCAACAGTGTTAGAATGGGTGATTGAAGACTTCAACCCCCAGAGGTACTCTATCTGTAGCGGAATGTCATTTGAAGAAGGCTCAATAGGCATGGTAAGAAACACCAATATCTTCACTGCATAAATAAAATTAAACAGTTATGAAACTCAGCAGTCCTCCGATTTGAAGTAAACGAAAAAGCCATAAAAAATCACACCTACCAGCATTCAGTACCAAATTGCGATCGTCTTGGTAGTGTTCAATGATTGGTATCAAATCCTTTGACACAATATTCCATTTGCAGACTTGCTTAAACACTTCACGTGTTTGAGGATCGTCACGCCTCAAAAACCTCAGCAAATCCTTCAAATTATCTACCAGCACAAAAACGAAACTAATAAGAAAATCCGCATCTTCAACTGAATTTTTTAACTGTTCGGATATAACGGATAGAGATTACCTAGGCAATATTCATCCTTAACATATCCGATCCGCATGCCACCATCGTCCTCCGCCGCGAGGCCTAGACCCGCACAGATAGCGGATAAGCCCTCCATTTCCATTTTTTATCCGTTATGGCTTCAATGGGGTTAGCCTTTTGTTTTAACGATGAACGGAGAAGAAACCGAGAGCATTAAACGGTAGCGAAATAATCAGATCTGAAGTAACAATGAAATTCTCTGGAGATAGACGAAGATAGAAGATGAGTAGGGGATTCTGGTTGGTAATTTGAGAACCTTAGGTTTTCTATGGCGCCATTTTAGATGCAAATTTTCCCGCGCTCTCAAGAGGATGACTTCGGGCTTAGATCCATATAATGATCCATTCATGGGCCTGTTGATAGAAAAGCGCCATGATTTTTATTTTAAATAACCTTAAGACTGATATTATATATATAATTATCTTTATTAATTAATTTTATTTTTATATTTAATTAAATGGGAGTCACAAATATATAAGGTAGTGTAAATTAGAAATTAAATAAATAAAAATATTTTTTTATATATTTAATCTAAAATTTATAGAGTATTGTCTATGGTTGTTTAACACTATAACTTGCATGAGAGTTTCTATCGTTTTGGCCACCAAAAATACCAGCTTGCTCTCAAAAAAGTTGGAGAGGTTTCCAATACGTCGTAGTTTTGAGGAGAGGAGTTTTAAATACCAAAATTACGAGTCGGTAAACGACGCCGTATTATATGTCTGGCATCTCCTTGACAGTAACCACACTTTTCCATTAAATGCAAAATTCCAAACCGTTTTGAATAAAAAGGAAGCGCAAATCAATTTCTTTCGATACGAACTAGGCTGCTCTTCTTCTTCCAGCTTCATATAAACCTCCGCCCAACATAGCGGCGATTTCTCCAATTTCCATACTCGCAGCTCAGCGGCTTCAACAAGACCATTAAAGCTCACTGGTTGCATTTTACTACGCAAGCAACTTCTTCAGTTTCTTCGCCAGTTTCTCCCTAAAGAATTTGTTTGTCTCTCCTCTCTGAAGCAATGGCTCAGGTGGTAGCCACTAGATCGATTCAGGGCTCGTTGCTGAGTCCTAGCCATGGATCTGTGCAAGAACGAGTCGAGAAGATAAAGCCTGCAAGTTTCGCTTCGAAGGTGCTAGCACGCGAGGTGAATAAAGGCCGAAGAGTCCTTCTTAGTGGCTCTCGGATCACTGCTAAGAGATCCGCTCGTGCCGAGCCTGAGGTCATTCCGGTGTCACCTGAAGATATACCTCAGGTCTTTATTACTCCTGCTTATTGATCCTTTTTTTTTTTGTTTCATTGAGGATAAACTGTAGAGAAATGGTAGGGAAATGAGAGCTGGTATTCGATTTTGTTAAGAGCTGCCCCTTAAGGCTACGGGTAAAATAAAAGGCCAGATTACATTTGGTTTCTGAGGAGTTGTTTAAAAGTAGGAAGCAATGCGATGCTTTAATATTGAACCTTGACGGCCGAGGGAATGTAGTGATAGGTCCTTTTTTAAGATCTGAGTTTTTCGTTTTTGTTGTCCATGCTTAATTGGTGTGTTTGAATCGCTCATTTCTTGATTAGTTGCTTGTTGCTTTAACTATGGCACGTTGTCCGAAATTTAGTCCGGTTGTTCGAGGATTTTTTTTCTAACAACGTTCTGAGGGACGATTGGAGGTTTTGGTCAGTTGTGGTCGTAAGCATGTCAAAATAAAGAACACAGCAGTAGTTCTGTTCTTGATTAGTTTATCTTGAAGTTAGAGGAAATAGAAGGCAGAGAAAACGTAAATTCCATGCACTGAACTGGTGCCAGTTTTGTTTTCCGTTTCAGATCACAAGCCTTTGAAAGAGCATATTTATGGTAATCTGATTGTAAACAAGAAGTTGTAACTAAACATTCTTTTCAATTTCTGACAGAGAGGTGAACAGATTCAGGATTTAAGAGCATTGCAACATGTAGGTGAAGCATCCGTGGGAATGTGGTCTAAGCCAATAGTTAGACGTAAGACTAAGATTGTTTGCACAATTGGTCCTTCAACCAATACAAGAGAAATGATATGGAAGCTGGCCGAGGCTGGAATGAATGTTGCTCGTTTGAATATGTCTCATGGGGACCATGCATCCCATCAGCAAGTCATTGATTTAGTTAAAGAATATAATGCACAAAGCAAAGACAATACCATTGCGATCATGCTTGACACAAAGGCAAGTTTCAATATTTTATCTAGTTATCCTCTACATAACATGTGATGACAAATGCTTCGTTTGGGGTTTCCAAAATGTTCTGTCAATTGAGAGTCTGTTAATTTATTGCTTTTGTGATATGATTTTCTTGTTATCAGGGTCCAGAGGTTAGGAGTGGGGACTTGCCTCAA